CTCGGTTGACGCAGAAGACTTAAAGACTTGGTCTTTGTATAGGACTTGGACTTGGTGGTCCCCGAGTGGATATACTTCACTTGGTACCGGGTTTCTTAGGCTCAATCGACTTAGTCGAGAGCGATGCACCTGGTACTATGTACCCCTTTGGTGGCTGACTGTTCTTGGTCCTTGGACCCCTTTTTGTTCTTCCCCGTAGGAAAACCGTTTCCTGTAGCGGGTCGTAGAGTGTTGACACTTACTTGACACCTCAGGCCAACTATCCTGAGGTTCAACTTGCGTTGCTTGAGCCGTCTAACACCTGCTGGAAGTCGGGAGGCCAAAGGGTATCCCGCCCGGAAGAGGTGAAGCGACGGAGAAGCTTAGGAGGGGGCGCTTAAAGCTGCCACGTGTAATGCAAATTCGAGTGTGTTTATTTACCTTATACTTTGTATGCTTTTCTTGCCTACCCTTAACCCTTTGATCTAGATAGTGCACCGTGTGGACTCTTGGAAGAAGAACTGGCTCCATGTTACCTGCACTTTCTGTAATCTTCGATATTCTGTGTACCGATTCTGCACCCTCGGACATTAGGGCCCTGGGCCCCTGTACCCCTGGGCCTCTGGGTCCCTGGGCTCCTGGGTCCCCGGAACCTGTTTCCGGGACCTGGGGCCTGTGCTGACTCCGCCCGTATGGGTCCTTATATTCTTAATACGGCGGGGCCTGGTGTGTGGTTGTAAATCCGCGAGGCCGGGTCGTGGTCACTTCCTCGGGGAAGTGACCAGAAGTTCTCTTGCTCTCCGTTCCATCTCCCTTAAACTCCAACTTTCCCTGGCACTTCACCACAACGAGAACGAACGGCTTCAGCAGCTCATCAATGGACGAAAGTGTCCTTGATGAGAAGACTCGGATTGAGCGATACACATCGCAATCCTGGGAGTTACTGAAGTCAAATCCTTTGTATAAGGATTTGGTCGAATTCAAGGATGTGTTCTCTGAATCCGTAGCGTGCGAGTTACCTAAGGATAAATGTACCCGACACGAGATCGACCTTGTTCCTGGAACAAAATATTGTGTCATGAAGCAGTGGCCACTGCCTCGGAAACAGGTCGAGGCTATCGACAAGCTCTTTGCCGATCGCCTAGCAGAGGGCCATGTGAGGGAGTCAACTTCACCTCACAGCTCTCCGACCTTCAGTGTGCACAAGGCCACAGGAGCGTGGCGGATAGTACACGTGTTCAACAAGTTGAACGCTGCAACGATACCGGCGCAAACGCCGATACCGAGAAAGGACGTAATCATAGATGGTATGTCTAAGAGTACCATCTTTTCTTCCATGGATCTGATGGATGGTTTCTATCAGATCCTAATGCGTGAATGGGACATCCCGTGCACAGCAGTGATCACTCCCAGTGGTATGCTCTGGAAATGGTTGGTGATGCCACAAAGGCTAAGCAATGGACCAGCTATATTCAATAGATGTGTTTCACATCTATTGCGACCGGTGCGCGAACTCGCACCGAGTTACTTCGATGATGTGTTCATCCATAGCCAAGCTATGGACGGGAAAACAGACGCGGAAGACCATAGACTCCACGTCCGTAAGGTTCTTACACTTATGCGCGAGCATAAGCTGTACGCCAACCTCAAGAAGTGTATATTCGCAGCTAGCGAAATACCACTTCTTGGGTGCATCGTCGGAAAGAACGGCTTCCGCCCTGATCCAGAAAAGATCAAGGCGATCACCGAATGGCCAGTGCCAGTCGATGTCAAAGGAATAAGGAAGTTCCTTGGGCTAGCGGCGTACTTGCACAAGTACTCACGCAATTACGCCGAAATGACAGTACATTTTTTTGTTTACTCAAATAAACTTAAAATATTAACTGATCTTATTTATGCATTACGATTTTATGAATAGTCCTACTCTAAGTACCCTACTCTAAAATAATTTCTATAATAGTAATTATATTATGCAAACTTTGCTATTGGACGACGTATCGTCTAAATATCTGTGTATGATGTACTTAGTACAGCGTTCTCGATTATCGAAATCTAATAGATAGGATACGGTATTACCGAATACCATATTATTGCTCATACTTAATACCTCTCTAAAGAGAAGTATCAAGAATACATTATATGCAATAAAGGGAAACTTCAACCAAACTTTCGGAATGATGTTGCAACCGTCGTGTAACCCTGTTACACTCACTCCGTTACAATCACAGCGTTGAACCACCGCTAAGCAAACCAATGGTCACGGGTAGGCTGTGACGGAGGTATCGTAGTATACAATAGAGATTAAAAGTTGTAAACAGTCGAAGCTTACATTCAATGTTAATGCCTATTTCTGACGTACCCAATCTCCTCATCACATTCTTGCTAAGCCATTTACAAAACATTTCTCACCTGCCCATTGATTCCATCATATCGGTGAGATTTTCTGCGCTTATAGCCATTCATATCGCGACAGCATATGCGCCAAGCGCCACCGGCGAAGTGCATCTCTAAGATGGAGCTTACATATTCCTTTTCCGCTTATTTTGTTTTAGTTTACCTTGAGCATCCAGAGAAGTCGATGTATTTTTTCCTGGACCTTTCTTTTCCTCGTTCTTCTTTTTGCACCACTCGGCTAATTCCTTGGCCAATTTTTTATCCCCATCGAACTGCAATTGTTTCAATTCCTCCGAAAATTGCTCGAGCTGGTCCAAAGTATATCTATTTCCATGGATCAGAGACTCGAACATCGCCGATTTGTAACGAACCCTTTGCGCCCTCAAGTTTTCCTTCATTCGATTGTTGTTTTTTTCAGCCAGCAGTCTCACGTACTCCATCCATGCTTTGAAACGAAGTACGTCGCGCCCGGTCTGTGGGAGGTCCGGCGAAAGACCGAGATGATTGAGGAGGCTTTCTTTAGTATAGCGTTTTTCTAGCCATTCTTCCATCAGCTCATTTAGTACTCTCTTTCTAGCTCCATTCTGTCGAGTAAGCAGGTCTTTTTTCTCAACAATATCAAGTTCTTTGTCCTTTTCCGCTTCCTTTATGATGCTTTCTTGGCGCTGTTTCCATGAAAAAACCATATCTTCCAAAGTTTTTTCTTCGAACCCCCCTTCTTCAATGCAGCAATTACAGTTGTTGATTTCTTGGTCGGTATCTCGTTAAAGTGATCTACGTATTTAATCCACGTGAGCATACCCATACATCCAAGAAAATTTTCCCCTGCTTTGTCAAGTTTCAAAGTTTTTAAGTAATCGGAGGGGTTGATAATCTCCTCGTCCAGCCGCTCTTGATATTGATGTTGACCGCTCATTACGTTTGGACCATGCTGTACTTCATCGAACTCAGCCGGACCCTTGTCTTCAAATCGAGTTATAACGGGTTCAGCCACCGTAGAGTACACGGGTTCAGCCACCGTAGAGTGAACGGGTCCAGCAAGCGTGCGCTGAGAGGACTCAGCGAGGGTGGGGGAATCGCTTAATTCTTTTTTCAAGTCTTCTACGTAGGCGTTCAAATTTTCCTGGTCTACCGCCTTCCCGTCATCTTTGTCAGCAAACAACCACTTAATAATCTGATCCAAGTCTTCCTTCCCTGGTGATGAGGCAATTATGACCCCCTCCGCCATCGAGCTCATTTCAGTAGCAATATCATTGGTACCTCGCTCTTCTTCATTATCTTGTGTGGACCTGTGAGTCCTCAAGTGCTTAGTTCCTTGACCAAGTTGAAGCGCAGGAGCTGACTTGGTGATGACGTCAGGTGACACATCATGCGCACCAACAGTTACTAAATGGACAGCAATGACCGCACAAATGTTGATGAGATGAGGATGCATGTTCTTAAAGGCAAATATTTGGAAATGCGGAGTCGAGATCACTGCGTGCTGGGGACGAGTGCGAATTGACGACGAGGGAATTATTACCGGCTCTGCTGTATGGACATAGACGGGAATAGAAAGAAATATACACGAGATTACAGAGCTGATCCGATTTTGAGAGTTTATTGAACAAGGAAAAACTGCTACCACACACACATCAGCATTCACCTCCGTGAGGCAACTCGAGCTCGTCGTTAATGACTGAGGCAATGCAACGTGTAAAGCAAGCCATGAAGAATACAAACGCGGAGTCGTCTGCAAAAATGTGGCTTTCGAAACGCAACTGTGGCAGAAAAAAAGATGGCCATGTTTGTAGAAAGCCTTTCCCAAGTGCTTGAATGCTTTGAAAGAGACAGCCATATGGGGTGACAGCGAAACGACAGGATAACTCCATCGAAATACTGGAGAGACCGTCTATTTGAATGACGGTAGGATAGTATACTGCTCGATGGGCAAAGACAAGGGCAGAAAACGAGAATACAGAGCTGACTAGTGGTACCGCTGTTACAACGCTGGAAAGGCTCGTCCTAGACCTTGCAATAATTAGTTCATGATCATGTATTCATTGTTGTAGTATCTACGGACCCCATGCAGCGTCGAGAGCTGCGAGAAGTGCTCTTTCTGGTGCACAGCCAAACGATTGCGTGAGTATTTTAACACGTCGTATGTATACACAACAGGTGACGCCTACGGGGATGCTACAGTGTTCACTTTCTGACACTCGCCGAGTATTACCCGAGCTCTGCCTCTTTGTGGACTCGTTCCTGCCAATACCTTTTACTACAAATAACAATAGCATTGTTGCTCCACCATCATCGCTCGTGCGACACGCTTTCCGTCATCCAGAAGCTCAGCAGTTGAGTCGTATTGCACAACAGAAAGGCATCTAGGCGCTGCTATGCCAACAACTGGTGCGACATGCAAGACAGGACAGTGACAATGGCATCCAGGACCATAACAATACAATACAACATATTCGTCGGCAGCTGAGCTCATTATGCACGTACTGCTTGATGCATTGCTGTCATCATATGCGCAGATACTCGGACAAGCTTCTGACGCCTGTAGATGACGTCCGCTGCAGCTCAAACCCAGATTTCATGCCATGACGTGCTTCCCAGTGTGGTCATTCCTGCTGCCGCTTGCAGTACGGATTGGAATTCCATTTCCGGACGTGTTCCAACAAGTGATAAAGGGACGTTGGCGCTTTGAAAGAACAATCCATCGAGTGACTTGTGATTTTGCAACGGTACGAGGCATCTGGAGACTTGTGGAAGAGTTGGATCGAGGTGAAAAGGAGACGCAGAGCCGTGACGGACGTGATGTGGCAAGTTTGCTAAGAGTTGTAAGTGATAGAATGCTACTCTGTTGCAAAAATGTGAAAGACGACCAAAAGTCGGTGGCCTCGCACCTTGATGACCAACTACTGGAAATGGTTTATACTGGGATGCAAAAGTTCTCGGTTGGCGAGCTGATGAGATGGTCAAGCAGACGTTTTTTGGTATATTACAGGAAGCATTGGGTCTTACAGAATGTGGAGCACAAATCGGAGCTGTGCCACAACGAGTTGTCGTTTTTACAACTGCTGGGCGCATGCTCGTAAAAGACCTTGCAGTTGATATTGTTTCGATAGTGATCAAGCAGATCAATGATCTGAATACGTCAAGCGGTAAAGTTCAACACCCACTGCTGGCGTTTCTTGTGGGTTTCTGTGCTCATATCGACTTGGTGCGTCTTACATCGATGCTCGAGGTACTCAAAATGCTAGTGGCATTGTACAAGACAGCAGCTCATAATACTGTTAGCTCTGAACATCAGAGGTTGCGGCAGAGCAAGCAGGTATATTATATCGTGTGTGTGGCGTTGCTTCAAAGCGGAAGTGTCGACAGCTTATGTCAACAAGTCAGCTTCGATGCAGCGGCAATAATAGAGCTCTTGAAGCAGTTTCCGATGCAGCTTTGCAGTGAATTAGCCTACGAGGACTTCCGAGTCGCTACCCCTGTGCATTGAATGGCTCGGTTTTGGAAATATTGTGTCTTCCTGTCAGACGAAGACGTACAATCCTTTCTGTCCGAGGCTCAAGAAATGATACGAAAACCAAGCAAGAGTTTAAGAATCGAGTGACAACGTGGCAAGCGTGGGAGGCGCTGATCGCTTTCAAACTGTCGTCATTTTTGCATTTTCTGCAGATGAAAACTTTGGTGAACTCGTACTCGATATCTTTACCGCTCGCAGACCTGAATGATGAAAATGGACTTATTGTTCGAGAACGAAAGCGTCGGTGGACAGAAAAATTGTCGACGACTAACATCAATCCCTAGACGATTCCATCAACCTAGACGACTCCATCAACCTAGACGACTCCATCAATCCCTAGCAGCTAGAGCGTTCGTTCAATGTGCTGTTGCTGTTGAATGTATGGAGCGAGTTTACTCGACATTATCTAGATGTTGAAGAAAGGCACTAGTGCCAGACTCGGCTCAGGGCACGATCTATCTGTGATGTTGATACAATCATCAGCAATGTGGCTTGGATTGCACGGACACGGACAACTGATTATTCGTGCTTTCATGCAAGCAACGCGTTGCACTGCAAGTGCATCTTCGATGGCTGTTGTTCGAGTTGACTGCCCGTAGTGCCGGTTGTGAGTGTGCCCAAGATGACCAATTGCTGTCGGGCCAAAAATCATGGGCAGTGGTGACTCAGCGACTTTCAAGAGGGCCCTCTCACCGCCAAGCAACGGCAACTGTCCCTTGACTACAAACAGCACTACTTCATTGAGCTGCTGCACGACTTCGTACAAAACGCTTTGCTTCCCTTTGATCTTGTTCCTCGACTATTTTTACAGACGAGAGTACATGTTTTCTATCTATAAGTCAGTGCACGCGAGCGGTATTGTAGAAATGAAATACAAGGAAAACTGAAGCATTGCAAGAATGATCGATACATGTATTCTATCTGAAAGCTAGCGAACTGCATTATTATACTTCAAAGTGTTCTTGTGTCTACGCTTTGCAACAAGAGGATTAACATAATAATTCGGCTTTATTAAGTGGACGATGGTCCTATCTGCTATCTCTATAGCTCGCCAAAATACGTTCAATCTCGTCAGCCACTTCCGTAACGGTCGGTCATTTCTTAGCAACGTTGTCCCAGCCTTTGACGATAAGGTCTTGCATTTGTTGAGGATAGTCGCTCATTTCCTTCACTGACGGCCCAACACCTTTTGGCACCATCTCGTATACCTTACTTTTCGAGTACATCCATAACGACTTTACCCGTGCGATGACAAGCTGTAGCTATTCATCTGGACGCGGATGCTGGTACTATCCCGGAGACCGCCACTTTCCCGACTTCAGATAACAACATACATTTTTCACCACTTGGTACACCGTCCACCAAGCGCAGTCCCGCGTCCTTTACGCGATTAAAGTCGTTCAGCTTCCACGTGCCATCGGTATCGACCAGAAACTGGCGCACTTGCAGATCGGTGTGCGCAAAGGGGGCTTTTGGAGCATCGTGCAACTGGGCGACACCTCGCGAAGCATCACGCGGTAGCTCCAGAGCACGACGAACCGAAATTGGTTCTTTCGACTCAAACACTAGCATGTCAAGCTGGTGGGGGATGTATTTTATAATCGCCGTTGTTTTGCACCAGCCCACCAATTTTACGATATTAAGTTGGTTGCATATTGGAAAAATAGACGCGCATTCCTCCACATGACGAGTACTAATGTCCATTCGATTCATGTAAATCTCCTTGTCCCATTTTGCTGCTACCTTCCGTCCTACAACATACAAAAACAGCAGCACATTAAAATTACTTTCAATCAAAAGCAACTATTTTCTGTCAACATTTGGTACGATACCCTTCCACCCGGTCTTATATACTTCTCTCCAGAATCCTTTGCTCAATAAACTTCTCCTTTTCCAATTAGTCCATTGTGACACAATGATGCTCCAGTTCTTCGAGCTTAAATAGTGCCATCGCCGCCGAGAAATCACAGTCATGCTAGTGTATAGAAGCATATTAAATCGATATATTGATCATGTCTTATTTTATATCTATGGGTCATACCTTTCTTTGGTATGTCTCTGGTCGCAGCCGTCAGGTCATTTCGCTGGCTCTAACAGCTTGTATGTGAGTGGCGGCATCGGCATTAACCGAGGATAGCTGTCAATGCCTAAAGGAGCATATATACATTGATGGACAATATACGACGAGACAAGTTCGTTATTTGTCACTAAGTGAGCGCCAAATACCCAATGATGGTTATCAGATTCCACTACGTTGTATGGATCATTTCCGCGTCGTTGTTGAAGTTGACTGCTACCTATGTCAAGTACGCATTTTCTTTTGTATTTCAATCAATCCGATTGCACCCATTCATCACAGACACGATGTCTGTTGGACGGAAGGGCAGTAAAGCAGAACATTCTGGCTCCTGAGATCTTAGTGCAATGAACCAAACAATTATATCCAAATGATCTGGCACCTTTGAGAATATGTAAGGTAGTCCAAAGTGTGGTCGAAGCTCGTCTTGTGTCGCCAAAACAAAAACATGATCTATCACAATAAGACTCGCGTAACTTTTTTTACATTGTGGGGCATTTCTTGAGGCATACATTAGTTGGCCAAGCTGCTATAAATAACTTGCGACATTAAGCAGGTCATAGCATCAAGTCGTTTTCTACATGTTGGAAAGGGACACTTGAAATCTACTTTTTCGTATCTACTGACGACGACGATCCTAATTTCTGATTTAAAACCATCTCAAAAACCACACTTTAAGAGCGTGAAGCCAGGAAGAACAACACCAGCATTAAGATCTTTCCACGCAGTCTTGTCATGGCATTGCACGCCTCTATTATCGTTGAGATAGTACTCATACATCCACTGATGGTCTGGGCGTCCGTTTAAAAGAGAAAGGGGATCGACTCGATCCTACACCATCAGCGGACGTATAAGTACTTCGTCGAAAATATTAGAGGCGTGCTGTAGACGTGCTTATACGTAAAATAAGAGGTGTAGACGGGCACTTCTACGAAGTTGCCTCGTACTACGAGCACACACCTTATGCACAAGCGAGGAAGCGGTTATACCGTCTTACCTTCGCGTGCGAGGGTGGTTGGGAGGTTGGTCGACTGCTTAAGCAGTCGTACCACCAGTTGCCTCTCGCTTAAGCGAGAGTGCAACGAACTTCTTAACACTTAAAACACCGACGTCACGCGGAAGTTTCTCGACTTCTCGTGCGTGGTGTGTTTGTTTAAGTAAATTCAAGACTGAGCTATATTTAATTAATTATAACTAAATATATACTTAACTACTGATTGGCTATATATATATATATATAGATCGGATACGCGACTCTTTAGAAGCGTATCCTGTCGCATGATCTTAAAAAATCTAGATTTAAGATCGCAACTGACGTCTTTCTGAGACGTCGTGATGCCTAGCTTCAACTAGCGTCATCCCTTCTTATGTGAATCCATCAATGGATATCACATTCACGAGGGTGGATCATATTTGTGTATTGCACCCAAGTGACAGGTCAAAAGTAATCATGGATACTTTTAGACCAAACATTAAGTGTATTACTTAATGTTTACGTGTTACACCATCCCCCGTTTTAGAACGATGTTTACATTTTGTAAAACATCGCCTAAGAGACAGAGAGACTGGCGAGCCGTTATAAACGTGCCGCTTTAGTCTGCTCAGTACTCATGCCACCGAAACGTGGTAAGGCTGATGGGTCGCCTGCAAAGGCACCCATGCAGTCCAGCACTAAGCGCACGCGCCGCGATTTATCGCAGCCGTCGCAGAGTGCGTCAGGCACTGGGGTGGATCGTCCATCTCACGATAATGTGGATGAAGATCCATCTCTCATTGTAGACTACAATGAGACCACACCACTACCATCACCCCAAAGTGGCGATAAGTATAGTGCATTGATGGGACATATGTCCCCATCATTTGAGGCACCCGTCCTTGAGGAAGCATCTATGCTTCCTACAAGCGAAGGAAAACCCCCGTAGTCTGCGCCTACGAGCGCAGCGACTAAGACTGAGCGCGCTACTTCGAAAGGAGTAGTCGCGACTCAATCAGATGTGACTCCTCAAGCTGATGTCTTGACAATCCATAACGGAGAGTCAGACTCAGGTGAGTGTGAGCTCCACCAAGTACACCTTCGGCCTCACTAGCCGCCGTCGCGATGGCAGCTACGTGAGTGGTGGATTGCCACCAATGCCACCTCCATCTGGTGGATGAACTCGGATGGGTCTAGCGCAGCGCTTTTGCAGCGTGCAACTATAGACGCTCATAAGTTTTATAGCGTCTTTCCTTTGTGGAAAAAGCAGGGCAAAGCACTTGGTCGTGCTTTCCCAATTCCAGTCGTGCTGCGTTCTAACGAAACAGCCGACGACTATGAAGCTGAACTTCGGCGCCGTGTTACCTTGCATGAAGATGCAAAGAAACAGCGGTCGCAGCGAATCAGCTTCGCCATGAAGCGTGCGCATGAATTTTATGGGCGGTAAGCGACCCCCAATTATTTCTCGCCACGCTTCTTCTGCTAGTCCTTCCGGACCTAGAAGAAAGAAGACAGCTGGTGCTGCTTCACATAAGCAGTCACCAGCCCAGGCACGTCAACGCGCAAAGCGTTTACAGGCTCCCAAGAGTCAAAGCTCGTTGGGTAACCCTTCCACTGGACAAGGATTTGGAGCTTTCGCTTCACAACCGGTGGGCCAACAGCCTTCCAACAAGGAAGCGCGTATTCCCTTCAGCGTCTACCAACACAGGTGGCGCCCGATAGAAGTGGCGATTACGCCCACCGACTCGCGGCTGCCTACCCTGCTACTGTTCAGTCGCAGGATGAGTCTGCTGCGCTGAAGAGGCAGGTGACAGATCTCGAGAGTCAAGTCTCGCGACTGGCCTCGGATCTGCGCGATGTGAGGGCGAGGGATCGTCAGGGGTATGACCGCCTGAAGACCCGCTTGGACATTTTAGAGCGACCCGCGTCAAGCGCGGAGTCCTCCTCGATCACCGAGTCCTCTAGAGACCCGCGTCAAGCGCGGAGTCCTTCTCGATCACCGAGTCCTCTATCGTCTCGTTCATACACGGGGAGCCTCTCGGCTTCCTCGTCGCCTAATCGGTCGCGACGCTCGACTCACAGTCGACGTCACCATCGGTCTCGTTAGACCGATGTGGATATGTGATCTCTTCTGGATCAACATACCGTTTCAGACGACCCACGTAAAATACGGGGTGCGTCTTCATATGCGGTAGGAGAGTGAGCCTATAATTTAGTTCTCCAATTTCCTCAACCACTGTAAAGGGCCCAATGAAACGGGGCAATAGCTTAGTAGTACCACCAGGTAGCACAGAAATTGCATGTTTAGGTAGGGTAGCAGTACTTATTAGCACTTTGTCCCCCACACTAAAATGGTCATTGTTTTTGCGACCATGCTGGTCTGCATATTGTTTTTGCTTGTCCTGTGCGCTTGCCATCGCGTCACGGACTTTACGTTTGATGGCTAATCGCTCATCCACAAAGCGCTGAGCTTCGCTCACGCTTTTAGCATCCAGCTCGCCGATGACGCCTCCAAGAGGTCGTTCATGGGTCGACGCTGTTGATAACACTATAGTGTCATCATCAAGGAGCACAGGCATTTCTTGCCGTGCCTTCTCTGTGACACCTATAGGTGATGTGACCACTGCTAAATTAGAAGTGTCACTAGGGAAACCTTGGCCATCTTTAGTATTCGCACCGAGCGAAGTGAGGGGCCCTCCCCCACTAAGACTCGGGCTGCGTACAAACGAGACTGACGTTCGAGGATGACGCAGTCCGTTAATGTAAAACGGTGTTTCACCCGTACTGGCGTGAACAGTGTTGTTAATAGCGAACTCCACGAATGGCAATTGCTTGCTCCATTCTTTGGGAGTTGCTATTGTACGCAACACATCCGCCACGACTCAATTGGCCCGTTCTGTTTGGCCATCGGTCTGGGGATGATCAGCGGTTGACATGTGGAGCTTGCTACCCAGCAGCGCGAACATGTCGCCAAAAACCCGACGTAAAACGCGGATCCCGGTCCGATACTATGGACTCGGGCATCCCGTGTAGTCGATACACGTGATCCAGGAACAAGAGGGCAGCCTCTTTTCCTGAGATCTTGGTGCTACATGGTGCCAAATGCACCATCTTGCTCAGTCTGTCTACAAAGACGACGAGCCCCGTCCTGTCTTTATGGTCAGGCGGTAAGCCAAACATGAAGTCCAAACTGACCGACTTCCAACATTCAGTTGGAATCGGCAGTGGCTTCAGTGGCGCACTGTTTGAAGGTGCAGGCTTTAATGCGCTGACACTCTTCACAAGAGCGAATATAGTTGGCCACCCACCGATATAGGTGGGGCCACCAAAATTCTTCTGACACCCGTAAGAATGTCTTTTCACGGCCCAGATGCCCACTAGATGGCGCATCATGGCACTCGTGAAGTATCATCAGCTTGAGATCTGTGTCATGAGAGACATAGATTCTCAAGGGATCACAGGGTGACAGTTGATGCCATAACAGGTCATCACTGTAACTAAAGCGATTTAGTTTCGCTTTGAGGTGCGACGGAAGGGTAACCTTTCGTCCACCAAAATGATCCAACAGCAGGCGACAATGTTCGTCCTGACTGTAACACTCCTTGATATCGGAGGCCATTGAGCTCGTCACATGGTAGGCCTTCATGGCTGCCAATGTTGACGACTCAACTTGTGCTTTCGCACGAGACACACTATCCTGGTGTCTTGCCTCGAAGTCTGGTCTGCGCGATAACGCGTCAGCCAACACATTCGACTTACCTGGCTTATATTAAACTTTGAAATTAAATTCAGAGAAGAATATTAGCCATCTTGCCATTCTCGGCGAGAGGTGCGGTGAATTTATAGCGGTCCGAAGTGATGCGTGATCCGTATAAACCACAAAAGGTTCGGTGCTCAAGGGGTGCACCCGAACCTTTACAAGGGCATACTTAATTGAAAGTAGCTCCTTGTCATGCACAGGGTAATTCAGCTCGGCAGCTTTTAAAAGCCGAGACTGATAAGATATGACACGGTTAACGCCGTTGTCATCCTTCTGCATGAGCGCGCTGCCGATTGCAAAATTGCTTGCATCGCAGACGACGCTAAAGGGCTTATCCGCGTCTGGCAATGCCAAGACCGGTGCCTCTACAAGAGATTGCTTCACTGAAGTGAACGCATCTTCTTGTTCCTTCGACCAAGTCCATTCTGTATCCTTTTTTAAAAGGTCAGACAATGGCTTGGTCTGCTCCGCATAATTCTTGCTGTACTTATGCAAGTAATTAGCGAGCCCAAGGAATTGGCGCAGATCCTTCACATGTCGTGGGACTGGCCATCCCTTTACAGACTTTACCTTTTCTGGGTCTGCTCGTA